TAAAATTAACATTGGCCTACCGCTTGTACTAATAAAGTGCCAAGGGCCTAAGTGGTCACCTTAATATTTAAAAAAAATAAAAATAAAAAAATATATTTCAACAGTTGCCAGAGTTGAATTAATTATTGGTGGGTAGTATAAACTTAATATATAATCCTGATTTGTTAATTTTTAAATTATTCATTTTATCTAACAATTTATATTTTTAACAGAAAGTACTTATCAAGAAAATGTAACCTCTTAAATTATTTATTAATTTTGAGAAACCAACATGAATTTGTCTTAAGATATACAAACTATTTCTAACATTAGACAATATATATAGTTACTTGGTTTTGGGTTTTTATTTTTTGGATCCCTTTTTATCCTAACTCCTTTTTATTTTTTTAATTTTGTCTTTTTCTTACTTGCCTTTTCTTTTTGTACAATTCTTTTGTTTTAATTTTTACTTGCCTTTTTCTTTTTGTACAATTCTTTTATTTTCTTTTATTTTCTTTTGTTATTATATTTTCTTTATTTTCTTTTATTGGTTTATTGTTTTTTTTTATTTATTGTGATTATTGCTTATATGTATAATTCTTTTTAAAGATTATACAAATAAAATATTAAAACAAGAGTCAATATCTTTTCTATTTTGTAATCAAATTTAATTTAGTTTGATTTTTTACTAAAAATCTAGTAATTTTTCAACATTGCTATTATTTTATAATATTGGAATTAATTGTCATTTATGTTATACTAAATTTAATAAATTTGATTTTATATATAATTTTAATTGTTGTATAATTATAAAATTTTTACTAGTAAAATAGTTATATTTTATAAAGCTAGAGTATTACAATAACTTATATATTATCAAAATAATATATATATATAAACAGATTATAAAATCATTTTACTAATTTATAAAGGAAATGACTAGTCAGTACCTAAGCACTTTGCGCCTCCTATTATAAAATTGCTAATATCTCAAAATTTTATTAGGTTAACCTAGGAATTTGACCATCTCTAATATAAGTTATATGTTATACAATTCAGTAAAAACCCCTAAATTTAGAGAATAAAAAAAAAGCTTTTTTAATAATCTCAGCAACTAGTGGTCCAATTTAGATGAACTTTTTTTAAATGAAAATGCTTAATGATTCTAATGATTGATTTATTGTTCTCAATAGACCGTTTACAAACAATTTCGTATCCTTTCAAATTTTAGACTTTTAAGAGCAACTGCCAATTCATGCTTTCTCAATCAATTTGTATTCAGAAGAATTTATCTTTTATTAATTTTACCAAGAACATTGAATTCATTATAATTAAAATAACACTTTCAAGCAATTTAAGCTATTAGCTTCATTTTGAAGATGCTTTATTTAAAGAATTTCATTTAAATAAATTTTATTTAAAGAACTTTCCATTTCAAGCCTAAGATACTACTACACAGTGTTTTAATGAGTTTTATACGTATGATTCAACATTGAATATTAGACCATTTATGTAACCCAAAAGAATTATAATTTACTTATTATTACACAAATTTCTGAACTTAATCTTAACATGTGTTTGTATTTAAGCATTGATTTGTAAGCATTTTATCCTTGATATTTCCATAATAACTTTGTTTTTCTTGCTTTATGTCTCAAATTTAAATTGGATAATTTTTTGTATTAAATGAGTTCGAAAATTGGGAGCCACATCAGAGTTTATCTATTATTTAAATTTATGTATCTCACCAAAATGTGAAAATAGTCGCATAAAGTGTTTATTGAGATTTGATTTCATGAGTAATATGCGCCCTAAAAATATGTCTTACAGGTAAAATTTCGAATAATAATTTACTATTTGCAAGGAGAGCCCTGACTATTTAGTGAATCTCAGATTTTTTACAAATTTAGACAATGCAAAATAATAAGGATACAATAATAAAGCCTTTTACCATGATCGAGTCTTTTACATTCAAAACATGTGTTTACAAAATTTGAAGATAAAATTTTTTAAAAAAATTGGGCAAAAAGAAGAGATTAAGCAAAATACAAAAAATGTGAAAATGATAATGATATTCGAATAATAATAGTGTTGTTTTCATTGTTTTACAAAGCATGGTGCTTTAATTATTATTAAGGAAAATATAATTGTAAGAAATATTAGAAATATAATGATAATAATAATGTAATATAATTAAACAATTCTTTGCCTAAATTAGCATAAATTAATAAATTTAAGCTTAAAACGAGATAATTATAATGAAAGTATTGTTAAGAATTAAGAATTCTGAATTTGCGGAGCTATTTTCTAGAAAATTTTTATCTAACAATGAGCCGACTTAAAATAAAACCTTGCTTCCAGAAAAGAAATATAGAAATTCAGACTATTATTAACATAGACTTACTAGAACCATTAGTACGCAATATCTTGCAGTAAGTCTTTCAAACAAAATTAAGAACTCAGTAGAAAAGCTGTCATGTTAAAAAGTCAATAATGTTAGAAAATATTTTTTATTTAGAGGCTGATTTTATTTCAAAGTCACAGCGTATATAATCATTAATTTACAAGAAAAAAGAATGAAGTTTCAACAAGCATTGAACGAAGGAAAAAGATCTTGGTCTTAATACCAATCTAATAATACTTATAATAAAGAAAACATAATATACGTGAAGTTTCAAATATTTTTAGTGGTAACATGAAAAAATTTATAGGACGCAATGAATAAGCTTGGAAATCTTCATCAGAGTATTATAGTAATAGAATTCCAAAAACCAAAATATATAATAAACATCTGGAAGAGAACTTAAAATATATATTTGCAAAATTCTCAGAAAAATAATTATTTATTCTAGAATTATATGATGTAAATGATTTCTACATTGTAAATTGATGATTATTAATTTGAAAATTCCTGATAATAAATAAAATTTTCTTAAACATAGACTGCTGATCCTATTCTATTCAATGAAAAACAATAAAAATAATACAGTAATTATATCCTGAGTAGTCGGGTATAATCGAAAATGAAATACTAGTACCCAGAGTATAACAGATTTATGCCGTGATTTTGATATAGTGACCAAGGCATAATACCGTATTTAAAAAGTATAGATCTCTTAGAAACTGAACACGTATATTTAAAAGTAATTCTATTACTGCTAGTTAATTATAATGTACATGTAAATTAAGATTGGTTTCCATAACTAATCATGAAAGTAGGGAATTTCATACTATATAGCACATAAAAAAGATTAAAAAATAGTCAACTTATGGCTTAATTAAATAGACAGTTAGCATAAAGTTCATAAAAAAGAAGTTCAAATGCTTTACTAATAGCCATACGTATCTTTTTTTTAAATTTTAAATAGATTGTCGCAAGGTAGTAAAGTATAAACATAAAACCATAAAATATAATGTAAAGTGTAGATGGTGGTAAAAGCAGTACTGTATTTTGAAATTTAAAGACAACATACAGCCACAATTAGAGATTGGAGTCTCCCGGAAAAAGGTTGCATAAAATTTCGTTTACGTTGATTTTCAATCTATGTACCTCAGTAACCGGTAAAAAAAAAACAAAAAAAAACAAGAATGTATATGATATCCACTATTCAATAACATGCAAAATTTTGCACACAGTTGCTGCAACAAGACCTAAACGTTTAATATTCAGACCAAGGCTCCACACGCTCTATTGAAGCTTATCACATTAAGGTTTAGGTTTTGTAGATTATCGTGTATTAGCTGTTATTAGTTGATAATTAAATCACCCAGTAGTAGTCACTCATTTTGCAACGTAATAAGTATCATCATAATTCTTCAGGGTACTCACAGGTTTTTCATTGCTGTCGATTCTGTTCAAACTCTAAAACTTAAATACAAGAAACTTAAATTATGTTTTTTAGTACATCATACACCGATACGTAGTTGATTAAAAGAATGCACCTAAAATTAGATATCTTAAATTTTTGAGGTGTGAAAAGAATCGACAGCAATGCACTTTGCATACTATATGTACAGTATGTCGTGTGTCAAATTAAAGTTAATCAGTTATTATCCATGAAGTGCAACGGTCAAAAAATAAAAATCTAGCCGAGAACGCTATGACCAAACCCATTTTCACTAGGGTTACCCAATTATAAGTTATGCGGGTTGATAAATTGCAACTCTATTCAAATCAAATCATGTTATTCAACGCATAAATTTTTCAAAACAACTTAGGGATATATAATTTGAGTAACTTATTTTTTATCAGAATTGTCAAGACTATTTATTATTAATAAAAATTGACATAAATAAAATGTTAAAATGTGAACTTAGTTGACAAATGCATTATATAAGATATCTTTCATATCTTTTTATAGAATCGTTGCTGAAATCAATAAAACATAATAAATATTTAAAGCCCATTATAGTCTTTAATATTTAGAATTTGTCCGAATGAATTGTAAGTAACAGATTTTTCTTCACCAATATCAACTTTAAATTCTATATTATTAGGAAAAATAACACTGATAAGAAAGTTTTGTGGGTATTGCGGCAGATTTTCAATTGAATTCTTTTTATCAAATATTCTAATAATCTCCAATTTAAGAGCTTTATTGGACCATTCAAGCAACCTAAAATTTTGCTTTGGCGGATTATTGGAGGCTGAATATGATGCTACAAATGAAATAATGCAATTTTTTTCCAATGAAAATGGCATAGTTATAAATACAAAGCTGTTATCATACTTTATATCCTCATCGTTTGTTTTATAACAAGTAATCTTTGTTTCACAATGAACTTTGGAAAAAACGCCCAATTTTGCGGGTCTTCCAATTACCATCCAGATAATGGACCTGAAAAATATATTAAAAGTAAAACTTAAATAAACAAGCTATTTGACTATCGAGAAAGTCGAAATTTTTCGATATACTGACCGCTCTTCAATATCCCATTCTTTATTCTGATCAAAAGTTACGAATGCTGAAAACCCGTAAAAATCAAAAAGATCAAATCGCACTACACAGTTTTCCAATTTAACACCATGCTTGTCGATGACGAGTCCAAAGACATCAAATGAATTGCTATCAAAAGATTTATCAAAATTTATTCTAAAATGTGTCTCAGTATGATATTCGTTTACATTAATAGCTTTAATGCCTGTTAGTAGAACTTTTAGATCCAGTCTATTATTTAAGATAATTTCAACTTCATTTTGTAATTTGTCTTCCAAAATTTTATATGTTGGCACAAGATTCATTCCAATAATTTTAAAATGTTTATCATCATTGCCATATTTACTAAACCAATTAAATATTTGCTTTTGTTCTATTATCTGTCCATTTGAAGTTAATAAATTTTTATCAACAAAGTATTTTATTTCTTCCTTAAATACTTTGTCAATGTCATCTTGCGATGTTGCAGTAAATTGCTTTTTAAAAGGATTAATAGATTTATCGGTAGAATTATAAAAACTTTCTTTAATTTGATTTCCTAAAATAATTGTTCTTGGTAAAAAATACCCAAATTCTTCAAATACTTTTCGAAGCGCCTTATATGGTTTAATATCATTGAGGGCATCCTCCATGGCTTTTATAAAATTAGGTAATGGTATGAAACATCGGTTCTCAATAGAAATTTTAATTTTTTTATTTTGCAAAAATAAATAACTAGTGTCAGTTGGTTCCATTTTTCCTAAAATAATGGTACTTTGTTCTATGAATGAAATTAAACTTGAGTCATGATCGATATTATTTTCTGATAGAATTTCTTCCACACTAGTTTTTGGCTGAATAATTTGCAAACAATGGTCATCAATTTTAGAAACAGTTGTTCTTGACGTAAAAGTTGCTGCACTCTTTTTAGTCGGAGAGATTCCAAACTGGTCAATTAATATTCCTTTATGAAAATGATATTTATCAATCCATGTAAGCAAATATGCTGATGCTAAATCACTAATCCAATCTTTAAAAGTTAATTCTTCATGCATATCAGAAATTTCAGGAACAAGACGATTAGTAAATGTCTCAATAAGTTCTTTATTTTTTAGAAATGTGTAAATCGGAACAACTTCTTCGTATGATATTATTTCAACTGTATTGTCCTCGTATAAATCTTTCATCCATTTTATTAAATCTTCTGATGTTTTTAGGAACTTTTGTTCTGTTGTTTCAATAATAGGAAAATCGAAAACTATATTTTTAAATGGGTTTTCTTTCTGTAAATTAGATGCATCAAGCGTCCACACCAAATGTGATTTTAAGCTCTCAACTTGAATGGAGTTTGCTTTAGTGAAATTTCTAATAATCAACTTTCCTCCAGCAAGTAGTTTCCTAGCAATAAAATGACCATATTCATTTTTAAAATTTGAATCAAAATTTTTGCTAATTGACCCAGTGTATTTAATCACAGCGATTGGGAATAAAATGCATATGTCTGCATCAGAAATTATTTTGTTTGCTGTTTCATTTGTCGATGAAAGCTTTTTTGGATAAGTATCTCGCAATTTACTCCAGAATGATTTTGGTTTATTTAAACTATCATTAACTACTTCATACACCAATGGTTCACCTGAATATGTAATAATATCTAATTTTTCATTGTAGCCTAAGATTATCTTATTGCTCGTAATAAAATTGTTTCCAGCAAGATACAGCCCATAATTTAATTTCCATGCCTTCACCAATTTCTGATCCTCTGACAAATAATCCTCTGACAAATAATAATTCTTATTAACGATGATGATATTTTAAGATTCATTAACTGAACTTACATATGAAAAAGAGGTCTTATATACCTGATTCAAACTCTTTTAAGGCTTCAAGAACTGACGTTATGGTTGGGCGTTTTTCAGGATTTTCATCCCAACATAATTTATAAAGCTGTTCATATTTA